TCTAATTAAATGGGGCGATGATCCCCAAAATATAATACCGTATTTAATTCGGGAGTATACCAAACCATCATCAATCATCTTTAAGTCGCCCGGAGCGCCACGGCAAATAATAATAATAGCCGTCCCTTTCCCCGCACAAGCTAAGCTTTTGGGGTTAAAATTCACTCGTAAGGGGGTGAATTAGGGAGAGTATTATTATTATTATTATTATTATTATTATTATTATTATTATTATATTATAATGTTGATTTTTGGAAAAACCAGTTAAAAAACTATCAATTTAAGATTTATTAAATTTTTTTTATTTACTATTATAGAACATAAAACGGCATCAAAAATGTTTTTTGGGGTCAAAATAAAGGGGTTTAAAAAAATTATATTTTATGTGACAAATGTATAAAAATTACAAAACTGACAAAATATTAAATCAAATAAATAATTCTTTCTACAGAGACCAATCCTGTTCCAATGCGGAAAAAATTAGGGTTGAGGCGATTAATCATTTTAGGTTTAATTTTTTAGACTATTTATGGAAAAACGCAAAAAGAAAACAAACAAAACTACATCAAACCAATTTTAATGAACAATATTATTGACCTAGATAGTAATTTAGTTTGATTTATTGTAGCAAAATTAATAGTTGGTTTCCCATCACGAATTTTAATTTGCAAATCGTTTCAAGCATTACAAATTTTCTAAATATAAATAAGTCCAGAAGTGCATTCAGAGTAACATTTTAAAATAATATAGAGGAATAAGGAATAGAGGATACCTGCAACTATTAGTTTCTGTAATGAGTAGATATAATATTGAACTTCGGATTAACAAACATGAAACGTTTTACAAATAAAACATTTCTATTTACAATTATATTTCCTCTTTTTGTCACATATTTTGTAATTTCATCGACAAAAGTATTGGTGTTTATTGAAGCAAACTCATCGTAATCCTAAAATATCACTGTCAATCAATTACATTGTATTTTAATTGAGTTCATCCATCTTTCAAACAAAACATGTACCAGGAAAATTAGTTTGCCCCTAGGCATGTGAAATTGTTTGGCAAAGTTCATGAAATGTTGATATTAATTGGCATACTTGTATCAGTTATTAATTAAAATTATTTTGATATTGGACATTTAATTTGTGAGTCTTTTTCTAAACGCACTCACAACATTTTCTAATAATCTTGTCAATAATTAGTGAACTATTGATTATTAAATGTTCATAATATACCTATAATTTTTAAGAGGGTAATTTATTTATTTATTAAATACACTATTCTACAAGTAATACCCAATTACATAATAGGAAAATATGACAAACATGTTTAGATGAAACATATAAAAATGCAAAATATTACAGGAAATGAAGTACAATGATGGTTATCCTAAATAATGCTTTTTGATATCCTGAATACTAATGTGGAATATATAAAATTCCTGACTTATCTGATTATAATTATTACACATATTATACAACGGTGAGTTCTTTAAAATATTAGTACGAGTTGTTGGTAAGTAAAATGAGTCAGTGTATCTTGAGGCTAGACGTGGAACTTTTAAATTAAACATATGTAATAGACATTCGCAGTTTATTTGATTGTTTATAACCTTATACAGCATAACTACAGAAAAATATGTTCGCCTATATCGAGACTTAAAAATCCATGTTTATTTAATAGCGTCGTGTGGGGTGCCAATGAGTGGATAAACAAGATCATGTCTAAAACTTAAGTATTTTACGAATCATCTGTGAATTCCTTCCAATCGACCAATGTGCACTCTTGATAAAGTGGACCCCATATAAGTGACGTGTATTCAAGCTTGGATCGGACAAAAGCATAATATAGACATTTTATGGTATCTACTTTCTTAAAATCACGTCTATTTCTGATTATGAATCCATATTATGTACGATTACATGAGGATGCAATACATGGACAGTAAAAGAAAGTGCTGAATCAAATAGGACTCCTAATTCTGCAAAGTTTATTGGTCCGTTTAAGGCAGTTTCGTCAACAATATACTAGTAAAAAGTTGGATCTGACTTTAAGGAATACGACATAATATTGCACTTGGCTGGGTTCATATTTAAATTATTTCTATGGCACCATTCATTAACTTGTTTTAGATTTTCAGAAAGTCGCTCGCAGTCAGCAATACTATTTATGGAAGCATAAATTTTAAGGTCATCAGTATACAGTAGATAATTAACATTAATTACACTATCAATGTCATTTATAAAAATATTAAACAAGAGCGGGCCGAGATTCGACCCTTGAGGGACACACGATGTGGCAAGGTACTTAACAGACTTGAACCCATTGAGCTGAACGTATTGTGAACGGTTACACAAATATGATTTTAGGAACTCAATAAGACTATTTAAGAGTCAGTGACAGTTTTTTTACTAAAATTCCATGGTCAAGTCTGTCAAATGCTTTAGTCACATCTGTATAAATAACATCAGTCTGAATACGTTTATCGATATTTTCTGCTATATGTTGAGTAATGACAGAGAAATTCGTTTCTGTTGATCGACCTCTCACAAATCCATATTGTTGAGTGGAGAACGCACTACGTAGTGCGTTCTCCACCATATAAGACTTATATGTTGATAAATACTCCGTTTCAGTAATATTTTTAATACTTTACAAAAATTAAGAATAATTGAAATAGGTCGGTAGTTCTTAAGGTCAGTTCGATTTCTATTTCTAAAAATTGGACATACTTTAGAGATCTTCCACATGGACGGAATAGTACTAGAATGGATGGAGATATTGATTAGAATTGTCAGAGGATAAGCCAGTACTTGGGCGCAATCCTTCAAAATAAATGCAGAAATAAGGTCGGGTCCCGTAGTATGCTTAGGTTTTATAGATTTTAATGTGACAAGTACATGGCTTTCGTCAAAGCTGTAAATATTTAAACAAGTTAATTGAAGTTTATTCACATCAACATGAGAAACTTAAGAATGAACGTAGGACTTGCTAAAAAGATCAGCAAAAGTATTTAGTATGTCAGCAGAATTATCCAGTTTATTATTTTCATAGGTCATGTTATTAGCAAATTTACTAGACCTTTTTCTACTGTAAACGTAGGCCTAAAACTTAATTAGTTCTCTGCTTTTAATGGTATGCAATGCCGGCAGAAGGAACATATTTAGATCGGGCAAGAATCTCGACTGGCGCCCCTATAATTTAGGGTGACCATATCTCTTCTGACCCAACGTGGCAGGTAATGTATGTAATGTAATGTATTTTGTTAAATTAGACAATGTATTTCAAAATGTATCATGTTTTCAATTTGCAATAAAAATTATTATTAAATTAAAAAAAATATATATTTTCACTTTATTAAAAATTAGTCTAGCTCTTTCACTGATTAAGGCATCTCCAGGATTCAAAATTCACTACCAGACCATTGAGATAGGTTGAAGACTTACAAACTTGTAAGAGAATGGAACACAGGTTACCAAGTGTTTTTTTCATTGGATAAATTATTTACGTACTAAAATTATTTAAAAATCTGGTCTACCGAAATGCCGATATACCGTTACTAATAGCTAATAAATTAACAACTGACTGGGTTAAATGACACTTCGAGCGGCTACACAAATATGTCTAATGTTACTCCAGGGTTGCACTGTTAAATAATTAGCTTTCAATCTTCGCATCGTAGAAAGGGATAGTAAGCTGGTACTTATCTGGCTCTATTCCAGTACGACTACACTACGGCTCACCAACATACAGTAGCTCTATATACACGAAATTTTGGGACACCCTGTATTTGATGCCAAGTGGTCTGTGGCTTGTTTATTTTTGCGGGACACATGTGAGGTCTAGGTGAGAAATATAATTTCTCAATCCCCAATTTAGGTAATGGTATCGCCATTTATTTGATAATAAAATAAATAAATATATTTTAAGTTTTATTTCCATCATCGAATCCTGGATTATTTTTACAAATTAATTAAACATAACATGGGAAATAAAATAATCTTAATAAACCAGACGATCACTACTAGAGGAGAAGACATATTACAGAAAGATCATGAATTATCTTAAATTTCACAAATGGGGTGGAGGTAATTAATTCTTCTGATAATTTAGACAAACTATGAATACTATTGTTACGCAGCATCCTGTAGCGTGCTGCGGTCGTCATAAGTAAAGCTACGAGTAAATAAAGAAGATAGAATATTCCCGAAACGTCTCGAAATGTCATTCCTTGTCAAAGAAAAGTCCAGATTGTTCGAGAAGGTTGTATAAGATCGAGGCAAGCTATATAAGGCGACGACCTGACGTCAGTTGGCAGTTTTTATGATAAACGTGACATGTTAATGTTATCAGTTGTATCGTCATTGTTAAAGTTGAGTTATTGTAAAGTTAAATTAAAATAAATTGTGATACTAAAAACCAGCGTAACACTATTATGATAAAAGTAAATGTAAAGAGATTGTAGTAGGATCGGTGATAAAACAAAACTAGAATGAAGATATTATAATGCTTGGCATTCTATATTATACTCTTCACAGTTTAACAAACCCCCTAAACCCCTTATTTTTATTCATATTTTTTTAGATTAATATACGAGTAAGATCTAAATTTCTTTGATCTGATTATATCCGTTGATCCCTTTGATCTCCTAGACCTCCTCGTGTGTTAGCTTTAGATGGAATCGATCATTAGCAGTGAAAAGAAAATACGTTTTAAAAACCCTGAATAAATAGAAAAATCTATAAGTATATTTTCATATCATTAGAAATACATTATCTGAATTTGAATAATAACCATAAATTTAATTTATTTTAAAACACAAATGATGAAAAACTTCTAAAGAGTCTGTTCGTTAAAAAATCAATCTAATGGAATTTCAACGCAATTAAGAGTTCCAAGTAGTTATCGAGCAAACTTAATGAACTTTTAGTTCTGTCGTCAATTATTAAGTTTTTTAAAGCAATTTGAACGAACTAAATCTGCAAAAAAAAACGAAAGTTATGGAAGTCCTTTTCGATTTGAAAAAATTAAGAGCTGCCGAAAACATGCACGGTTGAGAGAAAGTTAAGATTAAGTACTTAATATCAAATAATGAAATTATTTGTTAATTTTCACAATTCGATTTTTTTTATCATTTATAGTTACTTCTAATCCTGTCTTTTTAAGGAAGTTTTTTAAGGAAGTTCAGGATTTCGAGTGACTTTAAGCTAGGCCGATGATCTTGGTCTATCTAGTATGCTAGTGACTTTGAATTATGCAATGCCTACGCATTCCTTCAGAATGTGAATAAAGGTTTCATCGTATTTATCGCAGAATCTGCACTCTTGGACTTGCATTTGTCAAAGTTTACTTAGGCCATGTCTGATAAGGATCGTCAGTAATATTCGTAGCTGGTAGATAGAAGCTTTTAATCGTTTCTGGTTTTAGTCCCGTAAGCAGTTCAGGTCCCACAAAGGGTATTTAAGCCCCTTTTGTAGCAAGCTTGTTATCCGTCACTGCGATGTGACCCAGAACTCATGTATTTTTTCGGCCTAGCTCATTTATGTTTTTATAGCATTTCGAACCAATTTTTGAGCTGATTAATAAGATGTAATTAATAATAACCAGATAGCGTTCCTGTAACGTGAGGTCTGTCGAACGACCTGTCATAAGACTGTTTTATTTTAAAATGTTAATACCCTTATTAAACTTTATTTAATTCGAAAAATAGATGATTGTTAAGCATGTTCAATGGTGTCCCTCTAACGAGAAAAAAGTTGTCTGGCTTGGATACCGATATCTGCCACATAAGCCCTTTTCATTCCGAATTTTTCAATTTAAAAAAAAAACTCTTTTCTTCTCGGTAAACAGAGTGTAAAAACAATGGTTTTTTTGTGGAAAAAGGAGTAGAAAGTGATATACTCTTTATAGGAAAGTAAAATTATAGTTCAAAATTTTAATTATTGTGAAAATGAGTTTTAAAAAAAATTGTTAGGAAGTAATGTTTACTGAAGAGCATCTATTAATTAAAAATTATAACTTCGCGACATTTTACATAATTAAACATATTCCAAAGAAAATTGTTTTTTTGTTACTATTCCTAAACAATCTTCCACAAAGAGGATCATCTCCTAAGTGTAATAAAATGATCTACTTACATGATGTTGTTGAAAAGATACCTGCCTACCAGAATTTCAGTTTTTAATTCCTTAATTACTAAAAAGAAGTAATCTTGCAAAATTATTAATCAGGTTAATAAATAAAATACAATTTAAATGTTGGTTGTTAAATATATTTAACAAAAATTTGTCTTACATAAAAAAGCTAATCAAATTACGATTTACAAATTAATTAAAATCGTATGTTTTTGGTCACCATATAAATTCATGAATGTAGAATAGATTTAATACAAGTTTAATAGTAATTTTAGTCTTTAAAAATTTTTATATTTAAATAATTTAGCTCTTTCAAAAGTGGCCACCATAATGTGTTCCGTAACAATATCAATATATTTATGTATTTTATCCATTGAGTATTACAAATTTTTGCCAGAAATTAATAAAATATTACAAAAAATCTGATGTGTCCAACACATGACTTTCTTATCTAGTTATTATAGGCTTTTCCCGGTTATTTTGAACAACCTATGGTAGCACCTCTATAAATGTTTAGAGGATAAACTAAATAAATACATTTTCCATATACATCTACCTCGAAACATTTTTCTATAGATAGATATTCATTGAAAACGAAAATACTGAAAAATTTATATTTAGCACTTTTCCTACAATTTTTCCATTACGGTCCATTTTAGAAAAATCATGATAAACAAAAATTATAGAGATCGATATCGCAAACAACTTTTAGTTCAACAATTTTCATATAAATCAGAATTTTGCACATTTTGTCAAATTTCTCGAATACTACGCCCCTGGAACAACCCCCTCAAAAATTATTAACGACACCCTAATTTTTTTCTTCTCATTTTTATAGTCGTTACTTTTCTCTATACAACTATTTTTAAAATTTTGAAATCGCTCCATAAATAAGTGAGATTCGTTTTTTTTTTTTATTATTTTCATCAAGTTGCTTGCTGTCAAATTCATGATAAGTTTTCTAGCGCATTATAAACAATACTATATCAATCTGTCTCTTGTTAAACAGAAATGCAGCTTAAATACTCAATAAAATTAGTAGTTTTTACTTGATAAAGTTTGCAATAATTTAGAGTTTATCAAGTCCTAACAAATTATTTTAAAATGCCTACTGTGTTTAGTTCCAACGAGTACACCGATATAATAATTATTTACGACGAATGTCGCAAGAATTGAAGACAAGCTATACAATTATACCATGAATGTTTTCCGAATAGAACCATTCCCTCAGTTAGAACGTTTTCCAATTTAGAAAGAAGTCTTAGACAAGGACATTTTCCTGACGGTAAACATCATGGAGGACACAAAAGAATGATCAGAAATGAAGAAAATATTATATAAGTATTGGCTTACGTTCATGTAAATCCACATGTTTCTATCAGAGATTTGGCACTCGAATTGGAATAAGCAAAAGTAGAATCCAAAAAATATTAAAAGACAATAAATATCATCCTTATAAAATACACTTGGTCCAAGGTTTAAACCCTAATGATTTTGAAAGACGCTTAGACTTTCTCGCTAGAATGCAGGTGAAACTAAATGACAACGCCACATTCTTAGATAAAATATTATGGAGAGACGAATCACGTTTTCATAATAATGGTGTATTAAATCGTCATAATTCCAATTACTGATCCCCAACAAATCCCCACTGGGTAAGAGAAACAAGGTTTTAAAATATTTGGGGCATAAACGTATGGTGTGGTTTGTTCAATGGTTCAATAGTTGTTCAAGGTCCTCATTTTTATGAAAACACTCTAACGGGAATAGGATATCGTGATTTTTTAATCAATACCGTTCTTGATTTGTTGAAAGGTGTTCCTTTTAATCAAAGACACTTGGCAGACACTTATGGAAACCGTGTTATATCCACGCATTCTACAATTATCCAGTGGCCGGCTAGGTCACCTAATTTGTCACAGATTTACACCGGCCATTATTCAAGCTGCCTGTATTAGAAATTTACTGTTAAGGTTTGACAAATATGTGGAAGTGGGAGGTGGGCAATTTAAGCACTTAATATAAGTTATTACTACTCTTTGTTTGTTGATATTTATTTCTTGTCTTCTCCGTCTCTTGTTTTAATGTATTTTTTAATTATGTGTTAATTAATAAAGTATTTTTCTGGCTTTTCAGAATTCACATGAATTGAAAATAGCTTCGAAAGCAAAATGTTCTGAGAATTTGCAAGATATGACCTTTTCCTTTTATTCTTTTATTACTGAATAACGCTATAAAATTTTTGTGTTCTGGTGTAATTCTAGCTTTAATGTTACAAATGGTAACCAAACATATGATATTGCACTTTCCTTGGTATTCCTACAATAGAATAGAAAAATGTCAACAATATTGAGTGGGTGTGTATAATAAAAAATATTTCTTTCTTAACCTTCATCCTGAATAACATACCTGGACTCGTTGGGTACGTACGAACCCCAGTGATAAAAATCTATGCAAAAATTGAATTAATAATTATTTTGTCTCAAAGAAATTCAGAGATTATCTTTAGATACAACTTTAAACTATAGAATAGTCATAGTTAAAAAAATATAGAGCAGCAATCATGAAAATCCGGAAAACTTGAAAAAAATGCGTTTTTTACAAAAAAAAATCATAACTTTTTGTTTTTCGATAAAAAGGACTGAAATTTTAGCTATCTTCTTCTGTTACATCACTATAAAAGAATAATAATTGTTTTCGTGGGTCTTTAAAAAAAGGTATTTATTTTGAGAGCGCTATCCCACTGGCATAGGTATAAAAGTATATCCCTTGACTACCGATAGATGTCGTTACGAGTTTCGATTTCAAAAATTTAAATATCAAAAATCGACGAGAAATAGCGTGGGGTATGTACGTACCTCACGAGACCAGGTGAAGGTTAAACACAAATCTCTTTGAATACAATAATTCTAGAAGGATTTGGAGTTTAGAAAGTGTACTTACGTTGCGAATTTCAGAGCCAATAAACTTTATATTATTTATATAAAAAATCATCAATCATGTCATAATCCACCTTGGGTAATTTGTCTAAAGATTCTTCTTTTAATCCTGTTTGTACCTTGGTCATTTTTAAAAAATTAAATAACAATTTTAAAATCAAAATAATCTCGCAATCGAAAGCAAGGTTAGGATTTAGGCCATAGACGTACAGATGAAACCAAACTTAGAGAAAATATTTCGGGATATGGCGATTATGATTTAAATAACATTTCGAAAAGAAGAAAGTTTATTGAAATAGCAAGTGTCAAATTGCTTCATAAAAATTGAATTTAAACAAATATTGTTTTAGTTTTAATATGTATGTTTTTATGTTAAATTATACGATCATCTTAACCTTTAAATTGTCGGTTATCCGAAATTTCAATAATTCCTTATAAGAAGCGGCAAGAAGGTAAAAACATATCTACTATTGGCTAGAAGGTTATAAATTAGCCAATCAGATTATAGGCATCATTATGACAATGTTAAAAAACCATTGTGGCGCGCTTTTCAAATTTGCTTGAATTTTTTGGAAAAAAATTTCAAAAAAATATTTTTAGATTAGATTTGATGCTAGCTTTTAGAAAAAAAAAATATTTTTAAATTTCACTAAACACGCTCATTGATCCGTATTTATCCATTTACCTATTTTTAATAATATTTTCTCAAATATATATTTAAAATACAATAAAATTAAAAACAAATATACCATTCACCTTAGTATTTTGAAGAATATTAACATGTATTGCCCTTAAATATCTTTTCTTCAATAAGAGCCATTGCCCAGACAGCACACGACGTCCATTGGACGTCCATATTTTATCCAAATAATGTCCTGGATGTCCATGAACTTTATATGGATGTCCATTGGACACCCATTTTCTGTTAACCAATGGATATACCCATTCAGACGTCCAATGGATGTCCAATAAATGTCCA